AAATTTAATCTAATTAAAATATTCACTTTTCTTTAGTTATGAAACCAGTTTCTGCAAAAGTGAAGATGATCTTCAACAAATCTAGTGAAGCAAAAGTGCCAAAACTTCTGCTTGATTTCTTATTACAAGATGCTGCTTCACAACTTTCAAGAGAACAGGTAAAAGTTTGATTTACAATAAATAGATCAATCAAGTAAAAAACTTATTATTTTACAGTTGAATACTATGTAACATTTATCAAATATATATTTTAATATTTCTTTTATACTAATTCTAGTGTGAAATTATAGCTGAGAAAATGAAGTTTGCATTAGTTGTAATTGAAGTCATTATGCTGAGTGTAATTTTGCTTTTTACTAATTACACAAATTTGACGTATAATAGTTAAAAAGTTTTATTGAAAGTACTTTTGTATTTAGAATAATTAAGGTTTATTCCATCTAAGACAAAAATAAATTTAAAATTTTGTTGAGTCATTCATTCAGTTTATAAACAAATTTAAATTAATTATTTTTAAATGAATTATTAAAAATAGTAATTATTTAAAAATCATTCATTTATTTAAAACAGCCTTAATTATTCTAAAGATGAAAGTTTTTTCATTAAAAGTTTATAACTATTGTTGAATTTGTGTAATTAGTAAGTTTAAAACATCTAAAGGTCAACAAAATAAACATATGCATCTATATATATAACCCATTCAATGGGTGTCTGTCTGCATAACCGTTTGATAACGGACACTAGAGGCACCCCTATCATGTGTCATATTTCAAACATTCAAATTAACGATTTTAATTATTATTTAAATTAACAATATAAATTATTGTTATTCATTTGGCTCATAAATTATTATTTGGTCAATATAACAATATAAATAATTCAGTATATTTGTAATAGGAATTTATTATTTCAGGGGCTTATATCTTGCGAAGGGTTGCGAGTAAGGGTATGGTTCCTTTGACTTTATTGTTCGCACAGGGGCTACAGTTTGGGGGGTCACCACCTCTTCATTCGGAGGGTAAATCTTACCATTGGGACTTGAGCTGTAGAGCATATTGATAGGAACAAAAAAGTCAAAAGAACCGTGCCTCATGGAAATTTGTAAATAATGCCCACTAGGGGACATCCCAGGCTACTAGTTTTTTATAAAAGATGTCACTATGCATTTTAAGCACACAATACTATTTCCATGCCATATTTGAGTTTAGTGTTACCACCTGTCCGGTTTTCACCTGGACAGTCCGGGAATTGACTCACTGTTCAGGTGAACTATTAGTTTTGTCCAGGAATTTTGTAGAAATTGTGAAATTACAATGAAACAAAGTTCTTGCAATCTTGCAAATATTTTTACAAATTTACACTATTTTAACAGAGAAAGAACTCACACTCACTGAAACCCATCTGCAATTCTGCCATATTAGTCTGTTTATGCCGATGTGTGGCACACAACCTGTCTTTTTTTTTTTTATGTATTATTGTACACATCTCAAATAGAGCTAAGTTATCTGTACCTGCTCTTTCTTAATTTAGGTTACAGTACTTACGTTGCTCCTACACAAGTCCCTAGTCCCTAACTGTAACTGACTTAGAACCGGCATGCACGTTATTCTTTGCATTGTAAAATGACATTGCGCATGCATCAGGAACTTCAGTTCGAACAAACTTGACCTGCTTTCCGGGTCAGCATTTTTGAAAAGGTGGCAACACTATTTGAGTTAAAACATGCAATTNTAGTATCTATCGTTACAGCAACAAACATGTAAACTTTGTTTAATAATACCTTCGTTTGTTGTAGTTGGTGGCAGAAAAGTGAACATATACGAACCTTAATGATTAGAAGGGGAATCCCCTTCAAAAAAATAATGAGTAGCACTTCATCGGAAGATTCTTCGAGTCGAAGTCTCTTTCGGTAAAAACCCACCAGTGGCTAAGTGGTCTTCATACCTTGAACACGGGGAGTTCGTTCGTGGGTTCACACCTTGCTGAGACGGGCTGGCTACGTGGAGTTTTCCGGGATTTATCCACGTCTGTAATGCCTAAATAGGGGCCAGTTTCCCTTAAAAACACCTCCCAGAAGGCATTTCATCCTAGTCAGATCACCCGAGTGTTGCGTTGCCATAACTTAACCTGTCCTGCATTGTTCTCAAATATTTTCGTGTTCACCTCATTGACCTGCGTGGGCGATCCCGAATATTTTCGTGTTTGCATTGGAACGTTTTTGATACTAAATGTTGCTATGCGTCACAATTTTTATATTAAAACGAACTTTTGGAATATAATTTTTTTCGTTTTTATATTTTCAATATATTTATTTTCTTTGTGCAACATAAAAAAATTTTTAATGACACAGTAAACACAATTATTATTTAAAAAAAAAAAATTGTTAGGCATAACATCGACAAAAATTCAACATTGCGTCACAGGCAACAGAGAAGAATTTCAACATTGAATAGGTTAAATTAGTAGTGGCTTGTCCCTGTACACTATACTTTTCCTTTAACAATCAAATTGTGTCGATCATATATCTAACACCTTTCAGGGAAAATTTTTGAACTGAAATAACATGACTTCCGGTTTGCATCAAAAGTTCATATATAGTTAATCAGGGCCTCCTGCCCCTAAGGTTTCCATATCTGTTTTGTCTTTATCTATCTAACTCCATTCCTGAGATTAAGGAAAGACAAGACAGATGGATAGACAGTAGGAATTTATAGGTGTGCAATTTTTTCAAATTGCAACCTAATTATGCAGTTTAAAAAGGATTTAAATCAAAGCTTTCAAATTACTTTATTATTGTATTGCATTTCCTTATATTTGAGAAAAAGAGGAAAAAAGTTAATTTTTGTGGTTATTTACGTATACATACACATATACAATATTTTAAATTTCCTTTAAACCAAATACCTATGTTGTTTATCATATATTGCTATCTATAGAATAGTTTTAGCCACAGAAAGTTTCATTTATTTCAGAGCCATTAAGATTATTTCACAACATATTGACTCAATTAACCTTCAGTTATTGACATGACATCTGACAAATGACACAATCTTTGATTTAATCTATAATGTCTTGTTACAGAAAGGCAGATAGTTTTCTACTAAATTATTTTTTTTTATAATGATATATACAAGTACTTTACAATATGTTTAATTAATATTAACGTGAATCATATTAACAAACTTCATGCAATATTTTTATTTGATGAGAATTTATTAGATACCACCATAAATTATTATTGTCTTAATTTTTTATGATATATACAGAATAGATGTTTTAACTATAAAATTATTTTTATTATTTCTGTTCTGTTTTATTACTAATTTAATAGTAGGACAAAAATTATATATGCTAACAATACTAGAAGTTAAAGATTTTTGACAAGATTTTGATAGTGTTGTGACATTTTAATGTTTTATTGAAAGCATATTTTTAAATACACTCACAAATCTTGTGACTAAATATAGATGTGCATATATTGTGACAGTTTTATATATCTAAAAATGTTAATTGTGTTTATAATATTTGCAAAACTAATAAAAATTGAAAATCAGTATTAAATTTGTTTTCATGTAATGAATATAATTTCAATCAAACTGCCAGATTATTAATCAGGCTATTACAAGGCTAATTTAATGATTACATATAAAACAATCCAGCTGTATTTAGATGATTAGTTTGTCGTGTAATGATAAATTTAATAATTAGAAATAAATTAATTTTTAATTTAAAATTAGAACATTCTGGAAGAAAAGATTGGCCTGGGTGGGACTCAGATCATCAATCCCTGCTTACCATGCAGATGCATTGTCAGTTAGTTCCACTAATCAGACCTACAATCATTGCTTCCAGAACAATTAAATTACTAAACTAATTAATTAATTAATTAATTGGTTTAGTAATTACTGGCTACAACAAGAGTAATCTCAGTTAATTACTCTGATAGTGAAGATCAGGGAGGGTTCAGTTAGCATAATTGGCAATGCATCTGCATGCTAAGCAGGAGTTAAGGATTTGAGTCCCACAATGGGCTGATCTTTTTTTCCAGAGTGGTTAGACTGCCATAATTAGATGGCAGTTTAACCACTTACTTACAGTCAAACTGCTTTACATCTAACTATTAAATTAGCCTTGTTATAGCCCAATTAATAATCTGGCAGTTCATTTGACCATTAATAATCAAGTTTGGTTGATGTATATGTAATTAACATATTTAGTTAATTCTTTTGAATTTTGAAAACAAATATGAATTTTCTAGAGATTTCATTTACAAGATTTTATATAAAAATTCTTAAGAAATATTTCTACAAACAAATAATTGTTTAAATTATTTTTAAATTTTTGATCCCATAATAATAATGAATCTCCCAGACACCAAATCAATACTCTGTTATAAAATTGATAATGGAAGATTAATAGCCAGCTATTTTGACACAGTAGTTGTTTAACAAATTATTATATAACTATACTAGCTTGTTTCAAATTTTATGATTTTATCACACCACTTGTTGGTTTGTTGAGTATGTTGTTGATGATATCAGTGTTGTGTGTGGTTGTTTTTATGATCTTGAAATAAGGATTAATATAATACTTTAAAAAGTAAACATATTAATGTTTTTGTAATAGATATAATAATTTCTTGTTAAACATGAATTTGTTAATCATATGATATGTCAAAATTCCAATGGTCATTTGTTTTATTAATTTTTATTGTTTTATTTATTTATTTATTTTTATTATTATTTATTAAATACACGGAAATTTGTATACATCATTTTCGTTTATTGCATGTTACATTTTAATTTGTTTTATTAACTTCAAAATCTGAAATTAGACATGGAAAAATTTAATAATATTTTTTTATGCTTTTGTTTTCTTACATAAAATGTAAAATTACGAAAAAGTTATATTTTTCTTTCCTTTCTGACTTTTGGATAATATAAAACTTCAATTTTTAAAAAAAGCCAATAATGACTATAAAATTTTTAAAAAAAGAGTTTAAAAAAGGTATAAAAAAGAAAATAATATGCAGAGAAAAAACTTTTATTTACATCATTACTAACAAGCTTCCCAAATGCATTTCGCCTATGGCCTCTTCAGTGGGGCTTACAGCACAAAATCTACGTTCTAACAGTCAACTCATTGAAGAGCCACTTATATGGTTAACAAAAAATTCCCAGCATTCCGCTGTTAACATTCCGGTATTTAAATTAACATTATTGTTTTGCATAATTATAGCGAAGTGTTCTTTTACCTTTCGCTTTACAATATTTTTTTCCTTAAAAATTATTTTTAATTTATTAATATTAATCTGACAATTATTACTATTACAATGTTGGAAGACAGGAGAATTACTCATTTTCAACCTTACGGCAGCCAAATGTTCCGACAGTCTGATCCTTAATCTTCGTTTTGTTTCACCGACGTAAAAACTAGGATTGTTACACGTGCATTCTATCCGATAAACAACACCTTCTTCTTCTAATATATCTTTAGCATTATTTCTGATGATCATCATATTTGATAACCTGTTATTTAAGGATGGAGCCAATCTAATTAATTTATGATTAAAGAAGTTATTATATTTTTCATAAATACCTTTTATATACGGAAATGATACATACTTTATTATTTCTTGACAACGTTTAACTTTAAACCTGTTTCTTAAAAATCTGTGGAACCAATCATTTAGTAATCTTTTTGGATATCCATTTAAGATGTATTTCTTATGTGTATCTTCAATTTCTTCTTTTCTTTTATCTATATTTGTTGTTCTAGAAAAAATCTTTGTTATTTCCATCAGGTATACATTATATTTTTGATTTAAAGGACAGTATGATCTATAATTAATTACTTTTCTCGTATTACACGGTTTTTCAAATTTACAGTATTCCAAATGATCTTCAAATCTTTTAATTGTTATATCTAAATAACTTAATTGATTATTTAATTCATGCTCTTGAGTAAATTTAATATTCAAATTAATTTTATTAGCTTGTTCCAAAATTTGTAAGTTTGTTGTTAGTGTACTATCGTACACTATTAAAATATCATCGACGTACCTTGCAAAAAACATAACTCCATTTAATGTTGAAAGAATCATGTCCACATCCAGCATATAAATTTCTGCTAATTTCGGTCCTATTACGGAGCCCATCGAAATACCTTCTGTTTGTCGATAAAAGTTCTTTTCCTTCACTGTAAAATAATTATTATCTAATGTGAAAGTAATTAAATCCTTTAAATAATCAGGAACACCATACTTACGTAAACTGCTCAAAATCATATCTTTAGTAATAGAAGGGTACATAGATGTTATATCCAAACTCATCAATTTATAATTAGACAAGATTACACCTTTTTGCAATTTTGTAATTAAATCATCAGCATTTTTAACTGCATATTTCGAAATTTGTATATCCTGTAATATCTTTTTAATAAAGATTTCTAAATTATATAATAATGTGAATCTAAAGTCTATGATTGGTCTACATTTATTTTGTTTATGTGTTTTAATTCTGACAGTTAATTTAGGAATTCTTACGTTTTCCTTTGAAAGTATTTCTTTACTTTGACTCGCCTGGATATGACCTTCTTTCACAAATTTCTTCAATTTTCTTGTTAATGTTCTTTGTATTTCATTAAACGGGTCATTATTAATGTTCATTATTTTTTTATGGATTATAGGAATTTAATATACAAAAAATTTATATATATGTAATATATGTATGTGAAAAATTTATATGTATTTTATTAAACTTGATAAAATTATCTTCTATTATATGATATTATAAATAGTTTATTTATTTTACTGTTCTCTGCTTTTATTGGTAATAGGTATTTATTATTGTGTTTTACTCATCATGGTTTATGTTTTTTGCTTCATTTTTGTTTTATTTTTACTTGAAATATAGTATTTTATTTGTCTATTCTCACCTCATTTCTGAAACCATTCTAAAATATTGTAATTTTAAAATTGTATGAATTCTGTATGCCACATTTTAATTCATTATTTCCGTAATTACTTAGCACGTAATTATTAATAATAGCAGTAATATAGCTTGATCTAATCCCATGATCCTATGGCATCTTGCCATATACACTAAACAAAAGTCTTGAAACATTAGTGCTTCATAACAGCTCACACATCATACTATAGAAGGCTGCCATATTAAACACATGTCACATAGTCAGGAAAATCTCTAAACACAGATATATACATGAACAACATATATTTATAACATTAACTTTTTCATAGTACTAGGCACCAGTATTTAAGCTGAGTAGGATACTCTTTACCAAGATAATAATAATAATAATAGTAATAACTTGGATTACTACTGATAATGATGATATTTTAATTCATACAAAAATATTTTTAAATTGTATTTAACAGAAAATGTATTTTATTATTTGTTTAATATCTTAAACATTAATTTTTTTAATAATAATTTTTGTTCTAGTATATCAGTATATTGAATTTAAGTAAATCATTTGAAAGAATGGAAATAAACAGACGCTTTGCCAAATATCAATGTAATGTTCCTGTTCATGGCCATGCTAAGGAATGGTGGCATTATGCATATACTGCAATTGTAGAAGAATATATCCGTCCTTATTCTTGGCAAAGAATTAAAGAACATAGGTATAATTATTGTAAATATATAATAATTCTAATAAGATATAATGTAATTAATATTTTATAATTTTATCACTGTAATATTTAAAAAGTATTTTGGGTTAATATAGTTAATGAAGAATTTAGTTAAAATAAAATCAATTTAATACCAAAAAACTAATTTTCTCATTGTCTATGTTGATACATATGGTTTACGCCTCATTCATTCTTCTTTATTTTGTATTATTTTTTTTATTCATTTAGTGTTGATGTTTGTAATATTTATTTAAATCAACTAATGTTTTAAATAAATTCTATATTTAGAAAAAGATACAGAAGGTATAAAGAAATGTATAAACAGAAACTTTCGTATCCTACCAATACTGAAATTCGTCTTGATGTGCAGCTTTTAGAAGATCATATGGATATAGCAAATATTTTAATGGCAAGAGAAGAAACAAAATTAGAGGTAAATATAGCAAAATAATAGTAAATATTAATATATATTTAAAGCAAAATTAATAATATATCTACACATGCAGTAATAGTATTTTGATAATCAAAAATGACATTAAATCAGAACTATAATCAATCTTTAACAGGCAAATCTAGTAAAGACAGATAATTTGTGATTTATTCTTTATAAAATATATTAGTATGAAATTTATTTTGTAACCCCTGTTTATTCTTAAATGTACACTTCTAGGTAAATCTTCAAAATTAAAAGTATTAAATTATTAGCTATGAAATGCTTTATTTATCATATTATAATATTTTGTAATAAAACTTTCATTGCATGATAACTTGATTACATGATTTCATGTAATTCTAAAAATTTTTGTGGCATCATTCATCTGAGGAAAGCTAAGAATGTAAAAGAAATATTATTTATATATTTAGTTAAGTGCAGTGTTAGACTTTTTTATTGTTTTATATACATACCTGTATATATAGTTACTGTAAACAATAAATTTCATCTAAATACAAACACAAATTATACTTTTATAAAATGTTTCTTGTAGAAAAATAAGAGGACCTTTAATATTTAGAAATAATCTTTTATGAAGTTAATATTATAATTAAGTCTGCATTATATTGATTTCGTTGTTATATTATTTATTTTATATATTTAACCTTTTTTTAGTTTATTAAAGAACAGCCAGAAAAAACAATAATAAGAAAAAGAGATAAATCATGGTGGGAATCTTGGTTTGGTTCAGATTCTGAAGAAGAAGAAAATGAGCTTGAAGTATTGGGAGAGAGAGAAAAAAGTCTTTGGTCAAGACTTACACAAGAAGAAAAAAAAAAATTATATGAAGCCATTGGCTATTTTGATGATGAAACTTTAGAAACTTCAAAACAATATATTGCTCATAAATTAAATTTTACTTTGGCAAACTGTACATTTTCTCTAATTAATTTTGATAAGGAAATTCTTGTTATTACATTAACTCAATTTGTGACAAGTATAGAAACAAGACCTTCTAATAAAGCATTTAAAATTTCTGCAAGAACTGAAAGTTTTGTTGTGGAAGGTGCATCAATAGAAAATGATCTTGTTCCAATAATGACAGCTGATAATATTACAAGTGGTAATATAATCTCATTTAACAATGATCATTTTCTATTTCAAAATAAATATTTTAAACTAAAAAAAATTATGTTTACAGGATCTAATCTTGCTCATGTTTTTGCATTGGACTTTGAAAAAAATCCCTTGCATGAAAAAGCAGACTATGGATTAACAATAAATGCTGAACCAATGGAAGTTGTATACCATGAGGTAAAGTAGAAGTTAAAACACAACATTATTTTTGATTTTGACTAAGTTAAAATTGCTCTTCTTATTTATTAATACTACCAAAAATATTTCTTGTTAGAATTATATATGAACTGCATTTATTCCTTACAAATTTAACTACATTTAAAATGCTAATATTCAATGTAAAATCTTATTCTGTTCTGTATGAATTGGATGATATTATTTATAATTTGGTTGAATTGATGCTGGATCTGAAAAGGTCTAGAAATGTTAGTCAGTAAATAAATTTTTTATTTCTAATAATCTTATAGTGTTTATGACATTAAAATATGTAATTGTTCATTCTTGTTTGATTGATTATTTTTAATTTATTTTTAAAATCACTAAATCTTAAAATCATTTTGAGATTATGTCTGGAATTATTTTAATACTGGTAATAATTTAATATTTTTATTTATTCAAATAGTTATCTATATGTTGTCTTAATTTTTGTAAATAAAGCAGATCAGAATTTAAAGCTTGCGTGTAACTTAAAAAATAGAATAAAATTAAATTAAACAGAAAATAAGATTTTGTATTGTATATTGTTTAATCTGAATTTAAATTAATAATACATTATTTAAATTTTAGCATGCTTTAAAAGAATTAATTGCCTTCTTCTACATACCAACTATTACTTTTGAAGATTTTAAAAAAGTAACAACTGAAAAGTTACAATCTTTAGCAGTTATAACACGTACAGGATTAGAATACGCTGTTACAAATCATAAGGTAATATTAGAATTTAAATTTTATAATCTCATTTACTTTTTAAGCATAACATTTTTATAATTACTGTATTGGACTATATATTTGAGAAGATCCAAAATCCAAATTTTTTTAAAAAGAATTCTTTTATAACTAACTTAGTATACAATAACTAATATATTTGTCAATGTACATTTTAAAAAAGCCTGAAATTATTCAAAAATAAATATATTATCATTAAATCTATTATATTATAGATTTGATGATGTACTGTATATATATGTATAGTCACCAATAACATTACAAAATAAAAATCTAAAAGAATAACAGAAAATCTTAGAATAACTGAAAAGTAGTGCTGACATACCACAGTTGTATTATATTAAGTAATATTAAAATGTATTATTTTCAATTTATTTCTAAGAACTCAAGCAAAGAGAATATGCTTTTTAAAATCATTTAAATATGTTTTAACAAAAATGTTCTGTGAATTTTACTGCATCCTGAAGTGATTGACCTGAAAGAGCAGAGAATCTATGTCAAATTTTGTCTTATATGAACTAATATTGAGACTGAAATTTGAGTAAATAACTTTTATGATAAATTATAAATATATTCATTTGGCTTTTCCTGTTTCAAAAATGCACAAACTTTTTTGAGGATACTGAATATACTTCTGCTCATCAATCAATTAAATAAGAGCAATCCCTCATAAATTTTTTTATATCATCTGAGATATTTCTTGTTAGAATTATATATAAACTGCATTTATTCATTACAAATTTAACTATATTAAGTGCTAATCTTTAATGTAAAATCTTATTCTGTTCTGAATGAATTGGAAGATATTATTTATAATTTGGTTGAGTTCATTTTTTTCATATTCAATGTGTTATGAAAAACACATTGTAAATCGAAAATAATAGTAAATACTTTAAATAAAAAAAGCTATATGTAAGGTTATACAGTACATAATGTTGCATATTGTATTGTAAAATGTACAAAAAATAAGGAAAGAATGAATGATTAAAACAAAAGAAATAGTTTATATCATTGTGTGAAATAAACAAAAAATAGAGACAGACACTGTTTCAAATTAAGAAGTATATTATGTTAATGTTACACACACACAGTAATCTTTTAAATATTTGAACATCCACCAGAAAAGTATGCAATAAAATTTTATTATAAAACCTTAAAAAAATAGAAAAGATGGTATGCTGACAGGGCTATTGATACCTTTTTACAATATAGTATAACCCAGTTTCTGGAGTAAAGAACATTTTGATATCTTCTTCTGAAGTACATGGGGATGCTGGGAGACTGGGGATGCTGCAAGGTGTGAGCTTTTTGAATTCAAATGTATCATTTAAAAATAATCCTCAAATTATAACAGTTTTTAAGCTTTCACTTCACTCACATCAGCCATCATTTGTGTAAAATATTGTCTATCAGCCATCATATCACTCAATCAGCCATCATAAGTTGAGGAGTGTCTGTATATAATAAATTGAAGCAAATATTGTCTTCTAATTGCTTTCTGAATATTAGAAACTAAATGATTTTGGCACTTGCATGCTTAATTAAAAAAAACGAGAGAGATTGATAATTTTTACTGTAAATATCTAAGTAGAAGGTAAAGTCTTTCACCTTCTATTCTAAAATATTAAAGACTGATATATCAAACATAAAAAATATGCTGATTTATTTATTTGTTTTTGATACTGAAGTACTGGTTCTTAAGATCAAACTTTTAATCAGAAATTTCACATGGAAACTGGGAGAAAATACAGGGTGTCCAGAAAGGATGAGTGCAGTTTAAAAGTAAAATAAATTAAAAATAAAAAATGTTCAAAGAAAGTTTTATTTTTATTTTTAATCTATGGCTATTGAAAAATTACTTACTAAAAATGATGTTATCTAAATGGCATTCGTTATGCTCCTGGCACTCTTCTAATCTTGAGCAAAGATTTCTCAGTACATGTTGACAAAGTCTGAGATATCGATACTATGAAGTTTAACTTGTACATTTTTCTCAGTTTCCTTGAAAAACATATAAGTATGGTTTAACTGCATTTTTTATAATTAATTGTAATATCAATACATTAATAAAAATTAGAGAACTAAAAGACATAAAAGAAAATGCAAAAAAAATAAATAAATAAATTATATCTATATATATTATATAAGATATAATTTAGGTAATTAAAAAATATGGGTGCTAATGATTTGTGATATTTATTTAATAATTTTACATTATTGACAATAATTCTATAAAGTTATTATTAGAGATCATTTGATTGAAAAGAATTTGATATTTCTACAGTATTTTCCAGAACAAGAATGGAGCTGATGTGCTGGATCCTTAATATGTATCCATCTGCCATTGTACTAATCAATGAAGTTATACACAAAATTGGATAAAAATAAACAGAATAAAAAAAAACTGAAAATTCAAACATTGTCATATGATATGTGACTTTTTTGTTTTTATTTTATAATCTCACATTTCTTGCTAAAATGTTAGATATTTCAAATAGATTATAACACTTTAAACATATTTTATAATTTTCAAATATATAATTTTACATATATTATATTTTACTTTGTAAAGAACACAAANCTGGGTGGGACTCAGATCATCAATCCCTGCTTACCATGCAGATGCATTGTCAGTTAGTTCCACTAATCAGACCTACAATCATTGCTTCCAGAACAATTAAATTACTAAACTAATTAATTAATTAATTAATTGGTTTAGTAATTACTGGCTACAACAAGAGTAATCTCAGTTAATTACTCTGATAGTGAAGATCAGGGAGGGTTCAGTTAGCATAATTGGCAATGCATCTGCATGCTAAGCAGGAGTTAAGGATTTGAGTCCCACAATGGGCTGATCTTTTTTTCCAGAGTGGTTAGACTGCCATAATTAGATGGCAGTTTAACCACTTACTTACAGTCAAACTGCTTTACATCTAACTATTAAATTAGCCTTGTTATAGCCCAATTAATAATCTGGCAGTTCATTTGACCATTAATAATCAAGTTTGGTTGATGTATATGTAATTAACATATTTAGTTAATTCTTTTGAATTTTGAAAACAAATATGAATTTTCTAGAGATTTCATTTACAAGATTTTATATAAAAATTCTTAAGAAATATTTCTACAAACAAATAATTGTTTAAATTATTTTTAAATTTTTGATCCCATAATAATAATGAATCTCCCAGACACCAAATCAATACTCTGTTATAAAATTGATAATGGAAGATTAATAGCCAGCTATTTTGACACAGTAGTTGTTTAACAAATTATTATATAACTATACTAGCTTGTTTCAAATTTTATGATTTTATCACACCACTTGTTGGTTTGTTGAGTATGTTGTTGATGATATCAGTGTTGTGTGTGGTTGTTTTTATGATCTTGAAATAAGGATTAATATAATACTTTAAAAAGTAAACATATTAATGTTTTTGTAATAGATATAATAATTTCTTGTTAAACATGAATTTGTTAATCATATGATATGTCAAAATTCCAATGGTCATTTGTTTTATTAATTTTTATTGTTTTATTTATTTATTTATTTTTATTATTATTTATTAAATACACGGAAATTTGTATACATCATTTTCGTTTATTGCATGTTACATTTTAATTTGTTTTATTAACTTCAAAATCTGAAATTAGACATGGAAAAATTTAATAATATTTTTTTATGCTTTTGTTTTCTTACATAAAATGTAAAATTACGAAAAAGTTATATTTTTCTTTCCTTTCTGACTTTTGGATAATATAAAACTTCAATTTTTAAAAAAAGCCAATAATGACTATAAAATTTTTAAAAAAAGAGTTTAAAAAAGGTATAAAAAAGAAAATAATATGCAGAGAAAAAACTTTTATTTACATCATTACTAACAAGCTTCCCAAATGCATTTCGCCTATGGCCTCTTCAGTGGGGCTTACAGCACAAAATCTACGTTCTAACAGTCAACTCATTGAAGAGCCACTTATATGGTTAACAAAAAATTCCCAGCATTCCGCTGTTAACATTCCGGTATTTAAATTAACATTATTGTTTTGCATAATTATAGCGAAGTGTTCTTTTACCTTTCGCTTTACAATATTTTTTTCCTTAAAAATTATTTTTAATTTATTAATATTAATCTGACAATTATTACTATTACAATGTTGGAAGACAGGAGAATTACTCATTTTCAACCTTACGGCAGCCAAATGTTCCGACAGTCTGATCCTTAATCTTCGTTTTGTTTCACCGACGTAAAAACTAGGATTGTTACACGTGCATTCTATCCGATAAACAACACCTTCTTCTTCTAATATATCTTTAGCATTATTTCTGATGATCATCATATTTGATAACCTGTTATTTAAGGATGGAGCCAATCTAATTAATTTATGATTAAAGAAGTTATTATATTTTTCATAAATACCTTTTATATACGGAAATGATACATACTTTATTATTTCTTGACAACGTTTAACTTTAAACCTGTTTCTTAAAAATCTGTGGAACCAATCATTTAGTAATCTTTTTGGATATCCATTTAAGATGTATTTCTTATGTGTATCTTCAATTTCTTCTTTTCTTTTATCTATATTTGTTGTTCTAGAAAAAATCTTTGTTATTTCCATCAGGTATACATTATATTTTTGATTTAAAGGACAGTATGATCTATAATTAATTACTTTTCTCGTATTACACGGTTTTTCAAATTTACAGTATTCCAAATGATCTTCAAATCTTTTAATTGTTATATCTAAATAACTTAATTGATTATTTAATTCATGCTCTTGAGTAAATTTAATATTCAAATTAATTTTATTAGCTTGTTCCAAAATTTGTAAGTTTGTTGTTAGTGTACTATCGTACACTATTAAAATATCATCGACGTACCTTGCAAAAAACATAACTCCATTTAATGTTGAAAGAATCATGTCCACATCCAGCATATAAATTTCTGCTAATTTCGGTCCTATTACGGAGCCCATCGAAA